AACGTCAGTAAGTTTTTTCATCTTTTCACGATGTATAATTTACCTTTTCATCGTTACTGTAAACACAAAACTACTTAGTTCAAAAATAGTTCTTGATTTCAATTGATAAAATAATTGTTTACCTCTAAGGTTCGTCTTTTGAAGAGGCTGTCCATACGATTCTTCTTGGCTTTTGTGCATGGTTAGTATGGTATCTGTATATAGTCAATAGATCATCTTTAAATTTAGTATATAGAGTTTTTCCGTGCAAGTACCTTACACATGCTAAAGTACATTGGACTTTAGCAACTGAGTTGGCTGAGAGTTTTGGTACAAGGGGATATATAACCGAAAGTAATCAAACTGCCTTTGGCAAACTCGCGAATACTACCATGTGCCCTTTCTGTGCATTTCGTTGACTTAGGCCCCGTCCACACTATGCCGGATAAATTTGAATCCGAATTTATATTTATTCGGTTAGCCCCACCGTCCACACTAGTCCGGGCGAATCCGGAACAATTCTTCACCGAAAACGATTTTTTTCGAATACGGTCTTCAGAGTGGAACAATTTAAAAAAAGCCGGCTAGCCGTATTAGTGTGGACGGAGAACATTTCGTATCCGAAACTTTTCCAATGCGATGACGTCATGATTTTCATGGGACATTGTTTTGCGGCCTCTGATCGGACTAGTGTGGACGCGAAACATTTCATCCGTTTTCATGTGGACGGAAAACGTTTTTTTCGGTTTCGGTGTGAAAGTCGCGGATTCAAATTTGTCTGGCATAGTGTGGACGGGGCATTACTTTCGTTATCACATACAGGACAAAACTACTCGATGCTGATTGGCTAATGAAGGAGGGCATTTTTCCGTAATTCGCTTATGATTGGTAGTTCAGTAGCCTTGTCGCTTCGCGAATAGGGCAATTCCAAAACTTTGAAAACACAAGTTAATCATTAATTTTTACTTGCAAAAGAAAACCGGGTTAACTGGTTTCAGAGACTCTAAGAATCCAAAGGAGACGTGTGAATAAGGAAACAAGACAACCTTTGATGTTCGTGATTTCCGTTTCCACCAATAAAAACAGATGAAAAGTGACTATTGGAAGCTCAAAATCTAGGAAGCATAGTTCTTAAGATCCTCGAATAATACTTAAGGCTTATTTAACAGGAATAAAACAATTTTAAAGTGCTACTATGACGAAAATCGCTCAAACTTGGATTCAGCTGAAACTTCCTAAGAATACTCTTTAAAGGTCCAATAATCACTGCATGAAGTGTTTTCTCGATATTCAGGACGAAAGTATGATATTTTTACGATTATTTTTTTGGAGTCTGTGACGTCATACACTCAACATCGAACATCGCTCCATACATTTCTTTGAGAGTATGTGGACCGCGTGGCACTAATGAAATAGTAGAAGATAATATAGGTAAGTTGTAGTGCTTGGGAACGAGGTTATTCCGGGCGAAAACCCTTGGAATTAAATTCGGAAAAATTAATTTCCGACCTCGCTGGGATTCGAACCCGGCTTTCGCCCGGAATAACCTCGTTCCCAAGCACTACAACTTACCTATATTAGCTCCATACATTTCTTTGTAGTTTATGATCAAAATATCAGTAGTAAAGGGAGAAAGAAATACCCAAACACCCCAAAATATAAATTATAGTCACAAGTAATGTGAAATAAGCACATTAGCCAGCCTTTGGGCTTCATAGGAATAAAATAAATTAAGGATTTATATACAAAGAAATATATGTAGCAATGTTTGATGTTGAGTGTATGACGTCACAGACTCCAAAAAATAATCGTAAAAATATCATACTTTCGTCCTGAATATCGAGTAAACACTTCATACAGTGATTAGTTTAGTTTAGTTTAGTTTATTCGTCACTATTTACAACCTGAGGTACAATACGTTATCTAATAAATTAAGTGAACTAAACATAGTTATGTAGAGATAAAAAGGGGAGGAAAAAAAAGAAGTAGGTTATTATGATAAAACGTGACAGGAGGAAGATACAGGACTTGCTTCCCAATTGACAACCTTCCCCTATTGTAGTAAAACTAAAATAGTATGAAATAGCAAGAGGTCTAAAAGAGGTCTAAAAGTTATGACATTACATATCAAAAATGCTACACTATGCTATATATTTTATAATGAGTTACTGAGGTGGCTGATATGATGATAATTTCTGGTCATAGTGTTCAGAAATTAACTTTTTAAATTTCGCCAAGGACATTGGCGTGGTTTTCAGCTCAGTTGGTAGGCTGTTCCATAGTTCTACAGTTCTTGGTAGATAAGAGGACCTATAGTAGGTCTGCTTGTAGCGTGCTGTAAGTTGGACGAGGTTGTTCTTGTCAAAGCTACGCGTCTTGTAGGTTGATGTAGCTGGAAGCAGATGCTGTTTAAGTTGGGTTTCTGTAGACCCATTCCTTATCTTGTACAGCATAACAAGGTCAGTCATCTCTCTTCTGTGTTCCAGTGGCTGCAGTTCGAGGTAGCTGAGCCTCTCAGTGTATAAAAACTTTTTTTAATATGGAAAACCAAACGGGCATCGTTAAGGAAAAGATGTAAAAGTAAGCTTATAAGTCTTATTTTGCTCACCATTTTTTTACCAGTCTTCAAGTCTATTTAGAGCTGTTTTGTCCTGAAAAAATTCTGAATTCTCCAAAATCTGGATTTGATCGAAAGACATTCGTAAATTTCACTAAACCTGATATTGTATTGGATAATATGTAGTTTTCTTTCGCTTTTCAAGTAAAATTAATTAAATTAATTAAATTGGAAACTACTTTGCCGAAGAATTCAGTGCCCAAGAACAAAACTAGCCTCTGCTAGGGAGACTGCTGTTGGATCGTGTCGGGAAATTATCATGATCTCGAATTAGAAAAGCAATTAAAAATACTTATATTCACCTTAACGGCAAAACAACTATTGACACAAATAAATGAATATTTTCTGTAAATGAACAGCTAAAGGCGTAGTCATTTCAACGCCTTCTCGTTCGTATTGCCCTCGTTATGTTTCTGATAAGGTAAAAGCTTAGTCAGAACTTTCCGAAACGCAATATTTGACTTGTGACTGAAGGTGCCGAAGGTGCTTACCATGTGCGTATCATGGTTTCCTTGTCTATTGTTGATGCCTAATTCATACTAAAACGTTTAGTTCTGGTGAACCGTATAACTGGTCTCCTCCCGCCGCTCATTACCGGCGCCCAATGCTATCATTCCCTGAGCCACTTCCTTTCAAAAGGCTTTTTTGATGTGCCCTATATGAATAATGTTTTAGTCCCATAGATTAATTTTGTCCGTCTAATGTCATTTAGACATCAGATTCGCTCTTTTGAAGTGGCTCAGGTAATGTCAGCGAGAAGCTCGAACTTCCCTTCCACAGCGAGCAAAGCCAGTACCATTTGTTTTGGCTTCTTTTACATAAAAATATTTTGTTATCTACATAGAAGTTTTGTTTTTATATTAACCGCTTTATTCCCGCAATAAAATAAAAAATAAATAAATAAAATAAAAAATAAAAAATACTTTACGGGTAGCACCAGAAAGAAAACTACCTGGAGATTATTAACTTACTAAACTAGCGTAATATGCGAGGCCAACAATACCAAATGTGTGTTTTCTTATCCTTATTAATTTATTGCCAGTTTTTATATGTTTTCATTTGTGGGGGAAAAAAACGAAAAACAAACAAAAAAAACAGAAATCACGAAAGACAAATTTAACGACAAGTTTTGAAATGAAATTTATATTCAGTAAAGTAAAGAATGCACAACTTCAGCAGTTCGGACCCTCACTGGAATACATTAATATTCCACACAAAGTCGAGGCTACTCTTGAACACAGAACTTATTACATTATACGAAAGGTGATAGGGCTGTCCGGCGGATAAATCCTTATCCAGTGGATAAGTCGATGCTGTTATCCAATAAGTATCTAAGAAAGTCAGCCTAGTATGGAGCAACTTTGATGCCTTATTACTTACCTTTAAATACGAACCAATGCTTCTTTTTTTTGACTCCAAAAGCTTTCTGCCTATATTAAATGAAAACCGATTGCTTCAGAGATAGAAGTTATAGATTTCTTTCATAGCATGAGATTTTTAAATCCGATAATTAGATCTTCTTTCATTAAAACAGCCCACGCCATTTGAAAGAGCACTTAAAAATCAAAGAATGTAGAAAATTTGAATAACATGGTAATATAGCATAGCATAGCATAGTAATTTTTAACCCGGCACCATCACTCTGGGTACCCTATTGGCTCATGCTGATTAACATATGGGATAGCTGAATCCGAAGTAGCCTGCGTCACATCCGGAATTTTCTTCGTAAGTAAATTATTTACGAAGAAAATTCCGGATGTGACGCAGGTTAAATCCGAAGGCGACAGGGAGGAATAGCATCAGCTGGGTAAAAGGGTTGGTCATTGCTGCTGGGAGGAGGGAAGGTGAAATGATATATTCTGAAGACTGGTATTTATAACCATATATATAGCGACGTGCCGCAGATTTGGACACTTTTTATCGCGCTGATGCCGGATGAGGGAGTAACTACAGAACTCTCTAAGATATTGGAGATCGATTTTAGAGAGTTTTGTATCGATTTCTGAGATTTGGCCTTTGTGGTCTCGCTTTGTTGTTTTCCCACATATTAAAATTACACATACTACTTCAGAGTACAACATAGAATGCTTACTTGATAAGATTGAGATAATCCTTAATTTCTGGGACAGCAGTGAGATTCTAAATAGAATAAATAAAATGTATGAGTCAGATTCATCAGGATTTAGCTCTGTATCCGTGGCATCGGGCTTAATGTGTACAAACCATTTTCTTACCCAGACCCTTCTCAACAAAAAATCGCATTTCGATTATTTGTTAGAAAGCTGAGAAGGCTTTGGGTACGAGAATGGTGCACAAACGATATCATTTCAAAGAAATCGCAGAAGAGCTAGGAAATCGCTTCTGAGATAATTGTAATTGCTTTTCATAAACCTACAAATTCAAATGTTCGAAAAGAAAAGTTTCATAGCTAATGTGTATATTATACACTTAATGTCTGGACACGAGTGAAATAGTTTAGTTTTCCCGAGAGTCTCTCATATAATTACAATGCCAAATAGTTTTATCTACAAATTCGTTTCCAAATGTTCTTTAACCTGTCCCTATTTAGGTCTTTAAAACACAGTTCATTATCTGTTGGACTAAATCTTCGATAGTTTAATCCGGCGGCTCGGGTCGAAAGGCAAAAATGTGAGCTTCATAGTTCATTCAGAAATGCATGATTTAGATGTTAAGACAAGGCAAATTATTCCCTGCTGGCAGATTCTGCCTCGTGGCAAGTCTTGGCAGAGAAAATGGGAAACTCTGGAGGTGTAGGTCTTTATGATACATATTTAGGATTTTCCATTTGATGGTAAAATCTTTCTTGATCTTTGGAGAAAAGCAAGAGCCTACTAATGCATGACAAAAAGTGTGACCTGCGACTTTGGAGAAGAACATTGTTAGCTTATATGCTTATATGCCGATTTACACTTGTGTTTCACACGCTTATGTTTATGCTTATGTTGAACCAGCCATAAAGGATCAGTGTGATAACTCAAGTTATCGTGTTGTATTAGCTCTATTATTCATGAACTCAATTCAGATTTATACAACTACCTTTACCACTAACTAGCAGGACAAATTGTCCACGCTACGCAAATCTAATTCACCTATAAACCAAGACCCCAACTCAATAAACATCCGAAAACGAGTTTGATGACATCATGGGGTTCTGACGTGTTTTTTTGAGCTCCATCATTACATGGGAGATTGAATGGTCGGCTGAATGATGTGAACATTAACGTAAAGGTAAGAGGAACATCTTTGGGTAATTCTATTCATCTTAATACTAATACTTGCAGCGATTTCACTATTTGGCAAAGCACACTATTACCAACAAGACGCCGAAGCTATCGAAGGGTTATTTTACAACAATAATAGCTAGATATTGATGGTTTTCCCACCGCAACGATGTTGGATGAATGTAACAAAAGATTCATCATTAGTTTCTTTTGTTATATCATTCAACATGGCCGCCGTGTCTTGTTATTTTATTCTCATGGGAATGAATGCAAACTAGCAAATTCAACATCTACATTTCATCTAAAACGTCTTACAGAAAGCGGAGCCATTAGCCCAAATTCTGGACCAGAGAAATGAGTGCATGTAATCGGGCAGTTGCTAAAAATCTGCGTGTTTCTTGCACTAGCCTTCTACATATCAAGTTTGGCGATGATCTACGATTAATAAGGAATTGAAGGTCGACAACTTTATTATTTAAACACGGAAGACCCCGAGTAAGCGCCACCGCGGGCGCCTAGCAATTATTACATCCAATCCAACGAGGATACAGAAAATTGGAGAACGGATTAGCAAGTAGCCTGCAAAGCAGGCGTTCTTGTGGGTTTGGGGAAAAACCGGGGTTTTGGGGGAACTTTGGAACGAGCGAGAAGTCCCATTTTTCTCGCGGACCATTGGTCGAAACAGGAACCCCTAAACCCCGATTCTTTCTCTCAAACCCATGAAAAGAAGGCCTGCTCTGCAGGCTAATTAGCAAGGCACTGATAGATGTAATTTTAACTTATCAGCAAGAACTTTGCATCAAAAGTGACGTCTTCGACCCTGGGCTCAGTGACGCCCTATTTATGCATTCACGTGCGAAAGGGTAGAGAAAACGTAAAGCTACATTGCGTAAGTTTAAGGGAACTATGTTAGTAAAGTTCAGTGTTTGTATGTCGTTTTCACGGGTTTTAATGATTTTTAAGGTCCAGCCTCGTTTTCATGTTGCAGGAGCGAATGCCTACAGATATCATAACTTAAACCACTAAAACCAAAAATTTCGAGATGGAAACGGCTTTTTTCTTAATCAGGACAATAACACCAATATTGTAAGCCATGTTTCCTGATTCTACTCAGAACATTTCTGAAAAATCACTTTTTCAGAGTTTGCCTCCTGTCTAGTATCGAGCTTTAGAGGGAGTGCATTAGTAACCACATGTATTTTCTTGTGGTGTGAATGTCTTTTCCGGTGAGCAGTTTTCATGACATTGGATTGATTGTATAACATTATAGAGATAATGTTTAACTAAAATACAGGTTGAGGTTGAGTGTAAAATATTGGCAAATGACTTACATCTTTAACAGGGGTGTTTGTCAGTGAAGATCCTTCAAGTGTTGCCTGAGGAAAAAAAAGTGTTGTTAATTAATGTATACTAATTCATCTGTAATCTTTTTTTCTCCATTTTTCAGATTTACCTTTCCTGTTCATTTGTTGTAAGGAAAATAATTACTAATCCACTTTAAAACCAATTGTGAGTTAACCAAAGAGGATTATACACATAATCACTATCCCCATCATCTACTCAAACTTTCAAGAGAACGAAATTCTTGTTTTTACAACTTACAAATTTCTCGTGCGCCGATTGGTTCAGAAAAAGCTGACGTCAACGAGTGCGCACTCTTTACATTGGTTGTCGCGAGCGCTAAAAATTAGAAGCTTTTATCGTTTTTGTCATTGTAAGAAACAAATAGACTTCAGTTTTATAATTTCGTCGGCTACGCCTCGTGGATCCACACTACTTTGACAATTTATGTGATGACCCAATTTATGGGACAGAAACATTAAAAGCTCATATCTACTTGTTAATTTGACCCCCCTTCCATAATATGGGACCTTTTGGATAGGAGGAGACAAGTGGTACCATATTATTGAGTGTAGCTTAGAATACAGTAGGGGAATGGGTGGTCTTGGAATTTAATATGACATACAGTATGATAAAAATTTCATGGACTGAATTTCCTGTAGCTGGTAAATATAACACAATATGAGAATTATTCTGATAATTCAGAGTAAGCGCGATATATATTTGATGATCTGACGTTTTACCAGTTCCCTTTGATCACATCATCATTCTGTAATTTCTACATTAAATATCTTGATCAGCAATGAACAGAGATATCAAAGAATAGTAAACACTATTTTCATTAACTTTTTAAGGGCTTTTATGTAGATGTGGCAGTTGGTTATGCCTTTTAAATATAAACCTGATAAAACACTGTTGCTCTCATGAAAAAGTACTAAAACCAATAATTTGTAATGTACCTGCAGATCATTAAGGGCAGCATCAATGTCATCATCATCCTCAGTTACATTAGGTTGTGGTGATGTTGAAAGTATTTTAACTTGAAACTGAAAATATACATATTGTACAATAAGTTACTCTTGATTAAGAAATAGTGCCACTTGACCTTGCACCATCACTACCCTGGGACTAGCACAAAAATAGTCCACTTTTAAAAGCCAGATTTTTCATCCTAGGTAATAATATATAGACTAAATTGTCTCATTCTTTATTTGTCTTAACATGCTTTCCACTATTACTTAGTTGCCGCCTGATTCACCGATTATGACGTCACTTACTCAACAGACATCCACTGAGCTAAAACAATATGGTAAGTATGAAGACAATAGTTAAAAACGAATTTTATAACATGAATTACCAGAACATTTAACATATTTTTCCTCAGTGTTTTAGTCACATCATTTTTTATTGGGGTTGAATAAGTACGTCATAAACGCGGGGAGAATTAGGTGCGACAGCTGAATAATGGTGATGTAAAAAAAGAAAAAGCAAATTTGAAGGACTTCTTGTTTAAATATGTAAGTAAAATAGGCAGTCTAAGACTGAATGTGGCAATTTTTTTATTTTTTGGGGGGGCTACTGTTAAATAATTGGACAGGGAAAAGGAATCTGAATCTGAATATTATTATAAGCCATTCCCAAGTTGAAGGGGAAAATGGGTCAAGATGGCAGCACAGTAACGTTAATGTGGGACTGCTTTAGGGACTATGCATTGCAACGCCAACTTTACCCAGTTTTTTACTCAACCAGAGAATTGCTAGTAAATCATATGAGACATAAAGGAGAACATCAAATTTATAATAAAAGAATAAAATAATTCTTGGTTCTTAAATGGAAATTGTTATTGTATTCGAAAAAACTGATTTACCTAATTAATGTTGGTCTTGACAAGCAAAAGAAGTCAATTATGACTGCCATGTATGGAATTAAAACTAAGGTTTATTTTCATTGGGATTATGAAATGCCCGCAACACATATTCATGAAAATTAGATTTGAAAGAGTCCATTGAGAGATAGGACCTTAGGCAATCTATGCTTTGTTGCTAGACTACTGAAATAGTTTTAATCTTTATTTTTTTGAGCCCTCATGACATGATATGAAAAAACAAACAGTTTGAGTTTCACCACATGCACGTGTTGACGTTTGTTTCTTACTAAAGAGGATTGTAAACCAATAACGAAAAAAAAACTTGAGCTGTTGTAAAGCTATATGCACATGTTTAATTCTGTTCACTACAAAAGGGAATATTGTAAACCAATGATTAAAAAAAACGTAATGATGTAAACTGTTGTAAAGCTTTACAAAAACATTTGTATAACTGCACACAAATGCAAAACAACATATATAGTAGGGGTTAGTGTTAACAAAAGAATGCTGGGGAAAGAAAAACAATGATTTTGTCCCATGATCCCTTTAAATAACAATTAATAATGGTAATTGAACTGAGCGGAGTGCTATTTGGTCTGAAATCAAATGAGTGATTACAAAATTGCACGACCACGTAGCAGGAGTGCAATTATTTGTTAATCCCAAGTTTGATTTCAGACAAAAATTGCATGAAAAAGATCAGTTACAACTTAATTATATCCATTTTGAAATCTCCTGCAATAATACTGGCAATAAGAAGAAAACCTAATAATTATGCAGTTTACATACATTATTATATTATTTACGGACCGGTTTTTATATTAAGACTGGTTTTAACAAACTGGAAGTGGTAACTGTTATGTCATAAATATTCATGCTAAAAGGCTACTGTCATCAAAACAATGAAATTTAAAATACAAAAGGGTGCCATTCTAGATTAAGTCAATTAGATTGCAGGATTTGCAATTGATTTCAAAATGGATATAATTAAATAGATATCACAATGCAAGGGTCTGTGCCTCACATGCCATATTCATTTTTTTACCTGTATTGCTGCAAAGGTCATCATTTCTTCTTCAGTACATTCAACCTCTTCTGTCAAAATACTCCATTTGGCTTGCTCATAAAGTTGATTAATTCTGATATCATCTACCTAAGAAAATATTGTCTCATTGGTCCATATATATGATATGATATACCACCTACAATTTTATAGCATCTTGAATCAGTTGTGTTTTTTTTTTACATAAAAGGATAAACTTTATTGCCGCAAGCAAAGCGAGGAACAACACTAATTTTGATGAGTATCCTGTTTATACATGAACAAGAGGTACTGGACACGTTAGGTAAAAAAAATCTCGATCAATTGCGATCAATTGTTGCAATAATGGATTTTTACGTCATCAGTTCAGAAACGTGCGCACCCAACAAACTTGGGCAGCRGTCTGTTCTATTACATTATGCACAGATGACCACTGCGCAGCCTCATGGTCTTCCTTCGTTCAACCAACAATGCCCCTTTGTAGGAACGATGCGGTTATATATATTCATGGAACTATTCATCAAGGTCATGAACAGTTCAGTTACATTTCTCGGGGGAGGCAATGTTCATTTATGGGTTTTTTGTTTTTTCTGTCCTGTTCATGAATGGAATCATTCTACTATAGATAACATACTAATCAAAAGTGACAAGATGTGTCTAAATGCTTTTGAAAGCCATGCAATCCCAGATCAAGAGCATACATTTCTAAACTATTTGCCTAATACTGTTTGTTTGCCTTTTGCTTTCAATAGCAGTACAGTATCTTCGAGCCAAAGGTCTTTGAGGACAACAAATTTTCCGCTTTTTGTACTATGGCAACTCAAGTAAGATGACATTTTGGTTAAAACATTTTACATGAAGCTTGTTCTTTTATTTTTCTTGTTTTACAACCGATTCAAGTTGCTGTAAAATTTAAGAAATCGGCTAGGCAGCATTTAATATAAAAGCTATGGCGTCAGGYATCCTTCGACGGATAATACGGATAAAAAAGCTTTGTGTTATAAGAATTTATGTGTTAAGTAGGCTTAATAATGATAAAAAGTCATGAAGTAACTCATCTGAGGATTAAAAAGGCTAAAGTGACATTCACATTGTTTGGTAACATATGTCAGATGATAGATCTTGTTCCTTTGTGCAAGACCATGTTTCCCTAGATTATATATAAATCTTTTTTGAGTTGTATCCATATTCATGTGTCTTATCAAATATTATGAATAAGATCTTTTTATAGCCATGTACATGTATTTCCTTACCTTTGGATTTAAATCAAAGAAAGTGTAGTATTTAAACTTCAGCAGCAATGTATCAAATTCTCGCACCTCCTGTAGTTAAAATATYTTTGTATTATTATCAACATTCAATCAATTTATCACCAAAAGACAAAATGAAAATGCCTGTAGGAGAACCATGGCAGAACGTATTCATTATGGAATAGGTCCAATTTTAGAATATATGCACCATTACATTTTACTATGTACAAATAACATAAAAAATGCCACAAAGGTGCAGATCTAGGTGCATTTGTCCAAACCCCCCAAATTGCAAATGAACACCCTTAATGTCAACTCAAATCCCCTTAGTTTACTAGGTGATCTTGAACCCCCTAAATGGCAAGTATGAACTCCAACACTGGATCATCTTAAATGCCACAGCTAAGTAAGCTGGAACACCATTCTTTTGTTTTGCAAATCTGCCGACTGTTTTTTTTTTTGGTTAGCAAATTCAAACTTCAGGGATCACAAACCCCTTTAGCCAAAATCATGAATCTGCTCCTGATTTGGGTCTGGGTCATAGTATTATAAATAGGATCTTAAAATGTACAGTATATCAAAGGGCACCAGGACAGACGGATTGGGTTTTAAATATGTGTGATTGTTTCAGTTATTCGTAGATTTCTGATTGAATGGACATATGTTTGCGCAGCTGTAAATACTCAGAGTGTTCAGCTGATTCAAACCGGAAAGACCGTTGGTGGACGTGGTAAATATATTCATATCGTATAGCTGATTTGAACCAGAAAGACTGTTGGATAGAAAGATAAGTGAACACTTATTTAGTATCCATTTAGAAACAAACATATATCAATTCAATTAGAAATCTACAAATAACTGAAACAATCACACATAAAGTATTTAAAACCCAATCCTTCTGTCCTGGCGCCCTTGGTATATCGAGGGAAAAAATTATTTCAAAATCACTTATAGTAAACAGTGTAGTAGTATGGTTACAGTATTTTTTGTATGTGAAATTTTCTTTTCGGAGATATAAACATTTGAAATATCAAAATGCAAATGCTGAAACGCTGTTGTGGAAAGTACTGCTGTACTTTCAATATATACTTACATATAACAGAAATAATGGTTTTGTACACTTTTAGGTTATTTCGATCTGGTAAATTCACTTCAGAGAACTTGTCGCAAATTATACTGCAAAATGTAACATTCTTAAATTTACGTAATTCCATTTGCATATGGATACTTCAAATGTTTATATCTCTGAGAAGACCACATACAAAAATACTGCAGCCATACTACTACACTGTGCACCTATACATGATTTTAAAAATAAATCTTTTCCTTGATATATACTTTAATTTATCAAAACTTCAACACAGCAAAATACAAAATCAAAGTTAAATTGATTACCTGTTCCATTAGGGACTTTGATGAGTCAAGCCAACTATTTTTAAAGATAAAAGAATTTTTAATTAAACAAATGCAAAAGAAATTTTCTAATTCAAAGCCTGAAAAATTACACCATTAAAATTCAATACCAGTTGCATTTGTATTTTATTTAATTTAATGCGCGCGCACATATGCCATGGTTTGATCGTGTTTTTCTTTGTCAATGGTAACGTTTTTCATTTTTCCGAGGATGGCCAACAAGGTCAAAAGCTCGATCATATTTATTAAATTTATGGTTGATAAAACAAACTATTATGAAAATATCAACTAGTTTCATACTCAGTATTGAAGAAAAGAGAAATTTGTTGTGAGCAACCAACACCTTATAATAATGATGATGATGATGATGATGATTAGTATATGTAATAGGACTCCATGGAGGAAAATTCCGTGGACTGACAAAATTGGATGAGGCCGTATAGGCCGAGCATGAAATCCCATTACCTATTAATTATATAGCTGCCTAATTAATTCCATATCGACAGAACTGTCCAATTAAGTGTGTAACTCCACTACTTTACTGTATAGGCTGGTTTTAGGGTAAATGTCAAATTGGATTAATTCTTGGTTTTCATGTGACGTCATCAAAAAACAAAAATCCAAAGTATTCACCCCACAAAACTGTTTGTTGATATTTTCCTTAGAGCATCATAAGTCTTACCAAAATAATTTTGTTTTATTGATATTTGGTTTTAGATTTATGGCAAGTCCAATAAACAAGAAAGAAAATTTGCATATTGTTAATGGTAGTAAAATGACGCCATCTCGCAATGGTGTATTAATAAGTATTTCTTGTGTTGAAGAAAGAATTTGATAAAGTGAATGGTACATAAAAAAAGATAACAGAACCAAAAACACAGACAGTAAAAGTTTTTGAAAAAAAAAGAACAATCGTTTAAACTTCAAAAATAAAAACCAGAGATTTAGGAATGCAAAAACATATTTTTTGTATATTGTATTTTTATATATTGAATATTTGTTTTAGCTTGTCAAGTGAAAACCATAATTTTGAAATCAATCAGTCTTCCCTCAATAACACAGTATGAAATCACTGCTGGATTTATAATCATAAGTTCATTTTGTAGAATTACATTAGCAAGTAAAGCTAAATATGTGGTGTAGTATGTATTACTTTTTATCTTTCATTCAATTYGAAATAAATCTATGAAAAACTAAGAAAATCTTAATTTCATGTGTCCATCCGAAGTTGATTTAAAAAGCTTTTTCCAGAAAGGGAAGTCTATAACTTACAATCTTTTATCAAAAACACTTGATTTCTAGCAGATTAGTTCTTAATTCATCTTCAACTTCAAAAAAAGTGTGCACAATTATTGTTCTTGGCCTCAATATATAATCCTAAGCTGAAGTTTTCTATGCATTTGTGAGTTCTACTTTTTAAATCTCTCAATCTAGAGCAGTAAGTGTGCACCCTGGAATTAGTGAGATAAACCAGAAAATATAGATCTGTCAACATTTTAGTGATTGAGCTACTGAGTCAGTGAGTGACACATAATTTGCATATTTAGACCCTTACCATAGCTCATTTCTATGCTTTGCATATTCACAAGTTAAAAAGGAATGTGTCGTTGGTGAAAATCKGATAGCTTGTAGCAATTAGTATACAACCAAGCATTGAGGGATTACTATTTCCACTTACCCTGAATTCATGTAGGCCTTTTCTTGTAGAGTTCTTGGTTTATATAGCATATTTACGGCTTCGGTTGAGGGAATGAGAGGGCTAGTAGACAACTGTGTGTTATCTATGGTATTAAACGACCCATCAGGACTTAAACTACTGTAGGCTGGGGAGCTAGGAGTTGGGGATGTTGATCCCGGTGAAAGGCTTCCATTGGATGTGTAACCATGTTTAGGAATGGTACCATATGTTGGAGTCAGACTATCTTTACTACCCCTTTGTTTATCATCACTATTTTGGGATAAATTATCATCTGAGCTCAGCGAAGAACCCGACAATCGCTTCTTGGTCTTTCCTCGTACGCTTCTTTTGCCTTCTTTGAGCATTCGGGAATTCGGTTTCATCAAGCATAATTCTTCGGGGTGTCGAATACCGAGTTCATTGCACAATTCCTGAACTGCTCCAAACACTTTAATAGAAAAATTTGTAGACACTTCCACATATTGTAAATCAGGAAGCTGAACTCGGATTTTTTTATGTATAGGTGTGAAATGAAGCTTCGCATCTCCCTGTACGCCACAAGTATCCAAAGTCAAACGAGGTTTCAGCAGCCACATTCGCTTTTGCGGCCACCATAAGCCATGATCGGACCAGTCTGCCGAAATGTCTATAAAACAACAACAACACTAAATTGTTAATTCGTTTGACTCGATATCATATTTGATCATATTTATGATTTAAAAAATTAACATCAAGAAAGGCTGCCATTGTAGGTAATATTTTTGGGTCTTCAATTCAATGAGCTTTATAAAGTATTTGAAGGCGTAATTCGATCATATTATGAAAGATCGAAGAAATGTTCATTTACGATGAAGCGACGATGAGCGAGTGTGTTGCGCCAAACGCTTTACTTGCTGCTCATTTGTTGATGACTGTCTCACAGTGTATGAAAATACTGTAAATGAAAACTTTATGAAACCTTTAATTCAAACAAAACTATCTTAAAGGCATCTTATTCGAAAACATCACGGACGTTTCGAGTGTTAAGCATACCACACCCGAGCAACTTACAAGTTATTTGGTTTGCCCTTTGAAAAACTTTGAAATTATACTAAAGAACAAGAGTCAGCTAGCTTACCAAGTCCTTCAACTAAATCAAGCATAAGTTTACCAACAAAGGTTTCTCCATTCACTTCAACAGGTTTTTCGGTACTTAAACTAGTGATATATACGGATAAATTCCAAAAGGGTTTCTTTCCACCAGTGTTGGCCATATTGGAAGTCAATTACTCAGGTAATGTTAACGTCCTTGATACTTGGCCGTACAAAAAGAACTCTTCTGTGAAGGTATTTTCCCGCGTCCAAAGCTTTCGTATTGAAATACTTCCGGAAAAAATGGTTATACTACTTTCTTGGGACTTCCATTATAGAAAATGTCGATTTGTGCGGGGAATAACACAGACACAATTCGACGCATACATCACAAGTTCGTGACCCTTATGGTTGGCACATTTCCGCTCCGCTCCGGTAAACACGAAACAAAGGCGAAGTTTTAAATATCATTCCGAACATATCCCCGCCAATAATACGAAACACGATACTTTGCTCCATTAAAGTTTTAAAAAAATCATATTGGGTTTTGAGGAAGCCTTAGCATTACGTTTTGACCTCCCAAAAACAGATTCTAATGATATTTTGCAATTTCTGCCCATTTTACTTAGTAATCGGCACAGCGCCGATTAACCAGTCGGAGTCGGATATCTTTCGGTCTGTTTCCGATTCTGATGCTCTGACTGATGCTCCCAGATTCTTATCACCATATAAGGAGATAAATACCACAACCGCGAAAGCCGGTACACCCCTAACAAGACAAGACGCCCTATGGCCCAAGTGCAGAGAATGAACTGATCCTTCGTTCCAGGTTACTCGTGGAATTTATGAGATGATGGTTAGAATTTCGAAATCTTCAAAGACATGCTTACAGAAAATCATCGAATTCTGTCGACAAATATGTCATAAAAGCTATAACAGGACAGTGCTAGGATTTGAATCAGAAATGGTGTCTTTGTCGGGCTTGTGCTGTTCGAAAATCGATCTGCCTTCGATGTAGTCTCCCCCACAGCCGCTTTCAGTGTCGTCACGCAACGCTTAGCGTTGCGTGACGACACTGAAAGCGGCTGTGGGGGGCTGACTATCTTCAGTGCCGAGTGTTGTAATTTAGACGAGCCTTAGTGCAGTTTTCGTATGACTGTGGAAAGCTCACGGCACGAACACGGTCGTGACACAGCAAGGGAAACGCCAGACAAGTCACATTGCACGAGAATTTACTCTCCATCCAATCAATTACCCGAAACACGGCATACAGTAAACACAGCGCGGACACGGTCACGACAAGATCACGGCACTTTTAGAGCAATCATATTGCGCATGAAAAAAATCAGCCAATTAAAATTCTAGAAAGCATCACGATCACGATCACGGCACGTTTACGGCACTGAGCTTTTCACAGTCACACCAAAACTGCTCTATTCTCATGAATCACACGCGCCCTCTACTACTAGTAGCGATCGTTTCTGTCCCGACGAAGAAGGTTTTGGTGGACGTCAATCACAAGGCGTTTTCGTAACATTGTCGGAAAACACAAAGCTATAAGGGCACTTGTCTATAGAATGTCATCGAAAAAAGGCCTTAATTGACGGCCACCAAAAGCTTCTTCTTCGCGAAACACACCCTCTGAAAAACACACAAATGTACCTTTTTCTATCGCACTAATAGTTTAAGTCTATTAACCTTACAACAATACACAATATTTTGGTCTACGAGACCCCAAGACTGAAACGCAAAATTTTCTGAACTGCTCAAGATCTTCAGCAACTGTCAGGTATAATTATTTTCAATACAACTCTGTTAGCTGCAAAGTCAGCCAATCCAAATGTCTTTATTTATAGTGATTCAGATTTACTTAAGGTAATTCCGTTGCAAGAAATGTTGCCTATAACTTTGTCCTGAAACTTTGCATGGACATTAATTATGTTATGGCAATTTGAAAACTGCAATAAAAAGATGGGGCCACCAATCTCTTTTTTTCGCTAGATGCTATCCAAATATTTCAATTTATGGGTTTTATAAGGAAATACCGAAAGCTGTAATCAAGAACCTTTATTCACAGTTAAAAGTAATTTCGTATAACAAAACGTACTTATAACTCGATGTTTACTAGATAATCTATACTATTATAAATCCATCAAAGTCATTGGATGACTATGATTCTTGAAATATGACTGAAAAATTCAGGTAAAGGTACGTTTTCTGGGCCTTTGAGTGTTTTGCTTTTGAAACCCCGCGGGAATCCCTCGATGTAGATGCGCAGTAAGTGTGCGCGCTGACAGAAGTAAGCACCATCCTTTCATTTTGACATTTTAAATCTAAAATATTTATTTATTTTTATTAAGAATTACGTCTTTCATCTAAAAAAGGAAAATATGTCGTTTTGAAGCACATTTGATTGGTACTACATTTCGACGAGTAAAGCTTT